TTATTTGGACTGGGTTTTTTTAATCAAAAAACCATAAAGAGACTTTCCAGTGATAGAACATGTTATAATAATACACTTCATTGAAAAACACCATCCAAAAAGCTCGGAAAGCAAGGAACCTACTTTCTTTCAATTATTGATTTTTATACCATATGACTGTCCTAGCTGCTGATAATCGAATGGTAATTACACATTGTAGTGCATATGTTTTGTTGGAACATATCAAACAATTCCTCAAAAGCTCTTGAAGAGATAATGATGATATTCAGGCACTAATGGAATCACCTACTTTGGCTTGATGATCTTATGGCGGAAATTGCTTCAATTCTCACATTGCAACCAGAGTTAGGACAATCAATGAATGTATATGTGTTTTCCCTGTGTAGCAAAACAATCCATCAACATTTCTATGTTTTGGGCCTAAACAATGCAATATGACTAAATTATCTTCCTTAAACCTTGTTATTCAATGTGCAATAATCGTTTACAGATGCCTCACCTTTTTTTCACTTACTAGTTAGAATGGTATGACTAGGGGACACAATTATAAATTTTGGCAGAGAAGAAGTCATCTTTAGCTAAGACAGCTTTATTTTTCTAACAGGGTGATTGATCTCAGGAATGGGTTGCTTTCAAATGTGGTGGATGCAGTAAATTTAAGGGAAAGCTTGATAAATACATAAATGAAAAAGCTCACTCTGAGATGTATGTTTTTGTTTAGTGTAATTTAGTGAATAGGAAAGTCTAGATAGATCAAAAGATTTCTTGTTGTCCTTTAATTTTATTTTACTTGAACATTGTTTGAATGTTTAGGGCCTTCTTGATACTCTAATGAAGTTTTATAAGTAGTTCCACCTTTTTGAACTACAATAAAGCCATGGCAACAAGAGCATAGTTACTAACAACTGCTCTTCCCAACAACTTGGATAAGATAACAAGTGCTTGATGTGTTTTGCACTAACCATATATTTTTTGTGAACATACATTGGCTTTCTGCTCATAACTCAGGGCAGGCTGGTTGGATGATTGGCATTCACATATAGACTATATTCCCGGGTTTGCTACCAATGCATAATATGTCGATAATGTTAATCTTTGGAAATGACAGCTGGTACTGAGATTTTTATGCCCTTTAGGAATAAGGAACATTTTACGTGCGATATTGGATTTTTTCTTGTTCTTCCTGGTTGTCTGATATAAAGACTGTTTAGTTAGGTATTATTATTAATTGATTAATTTTGTGTTTGTAATTCATTGATGTCGAGGCCATGGAAATTTCTAGAAGGCCTAAGAGATAGACATATAAATAGCTCGACTAGTTGAGTGAAAACAGAGTAAAAGTATAGTCACTTGAAAGAGAAATTCAGTCAGAGAAAAGTTACAAAAAAACATAAAGCTAACCATCGTGGGAGTGAATGGCCTAACAGTTGATATGTTAGAGTGAGATGAACAGTTTTGAAAGAGATAAGGAGAATAATTTGTCTTATCAAAGAGTGTTCTAAACTAATTGAGCCCGCCTGTGTGGACTTTGAAAAAAGGCAGACGATTATTGTAAGTACGAAAAGCAGACGATTAATGGAAGTTCAGGATACAACTGTGGTAACTCACGCGACAGCGTAGGTGAATTATACTCTGATACTATTACGATAAAAATAGTTCGGCTTGTCAAATGAATTCTAAAGCAATTTAACTGTCCTAAGTAGACTTTTGACAAAAGAAGAGAACTGTATTGTGTTTAAGATACAACTATGATCTTCATAGTATAAAGAATTTTGCACACACATTTAACTTGTTTTGAATACATGTATTATTTTCAAAACAAGTGGTGTGTGTGTTGTTCGTTATTGTCGAATTTATCGCCAACAAGTCACAGACACCTGTTGTAGAAGAATCCTTAGCCCAACACTGACAAATTTAACCTAAGTTGATTTTCTACGTGATTTGTTTTCCCAGGATTCCATAGGTCCTTCTCAACAATCAGGACATGGCTAATGAAGGACTATGTATAAATCACGTGTATTACTCTTACTGGTCACTTAAACCAGATCGAATCGTGGTCAAGTCGCCAAAATGCATAGTGTGCTTAAGTTGTAGTATTCCTTGTTTAGAAAAAGAAAAGCACACACATAAACTACCTTCACATAAGAAAGAGGCTCGGAGATTTAGTTGGATAGAATGTTAATATGAGAAAAAGCACAGAAAAAAAAACAAGTTTGACGAATAGAAATAATTACTGTTTATTTCATTTTCTATGTACAATTATTTTACAGGTATACCAAGTTGAGAATATTAAATGAAATGAAAATAAAACCAAAGAACTTGAACGTAAAATTAAATTGAACTGAAATATGCTCCAGAAGTACCAAGACATTAAGGTGACTTTCACAAACAGGTTCTGACTTTCTGTCAGATTGGAGACTGACTGCATTCCCTAAAAGGTGAATGAATGTGATCTGAGATACCAAAACTGCATCCAAAATATACATTTTCTCTCTGTAGCTGATGAATTAGAAAAGAGGCACTGAAGCAAAGAAGTTTCTCTGTTTCGTAATTAGAGATACCCCCAAATTCAGGGTCAAGCAGGACACAATGCAACAATCCCATAAAACAGTAAATACGTTATTTGATTGATCAAGCTACAAAAACTAACACTTTGTATATGATCTCAGTAGGATTTAGTACGTTCCTAAATACAACTTAGAGAAATTAAAATACTGTTGCGTCATCGAGATCATGTGATTCTCACGCTCTCTACTTTCTAGAATTATCCTGTATTTTGGCGAATGTTCTAGTTCTTACTAGATATAGGGTAGGCTGGTATATAAAAGAGGGGAATGTAATGTGTGGGTAGATAGTGAGTAATTGAACTGCAGTCACACGGTATTGTTGAAGTTAACGTTCGTTCGTTACAGTGTTGTTTTAGCGCGAGTATTGAGATTAAGTGTATCGCAGAGTTATATTCGGAAAGAATAAACCAGTTTTATTAAGTAAAGACTTGTGTCGTTAAAGTTTCGGTGGAACAAAGTTACGGAAAGTTAATTAAAAAACGGAGACGTAACAAAATGTATATATATATATAT